CTCCTCCAGCCGTGGCTTGGAATTTTTTTTTTTTTGTGGCTTGGAAATTTTATTGTGCAAACAAGGACCCAGGGTTTGTCATCATTGGATACTACCTGTTCTCTTTTGTTGTTTCTCTTATAGACTGCAAATGAATGAAATTTTCCTGTATTTGTTCTCTCTCTGACTTATTTCACATTTTCTAACATGTGAAATAAGTCAATGTTAGAAATGGATCTCAATGACTAGGGACTACATTATAGACTGTAGACTGAAGACACAGAAAAGAGAAAATATTACTCTCAACACATGCCATTTCATGACATGTTCAGGGTATAGACCATGGGTGACATTTACCTGTTGAATCTGGGTGTAAAATGGGATGCTTTCCTAAAGTGCAAACTTTTTTTTTCTTTTTGGATTACACCCAGAAATGCACAGGGGTTATTCCTAGTGGTACTCGGGGGACCATATGGGATGCTGGGAATCAAACCCAGGTTGACCGTGTGCAAGGGAAACACCCTACCCACTGTACTATTGCTCTAGCCCTGCAAATGTTTCTTGATCCCAATTAGGAACCAGTGAGCTAATTAGTTTCTCTTGACTTGGTATGAAACAGAATAACTAACAACCCAGTGTTTCAGAGCAAAGTTCTAGAGGCAGATGGTCTCAAATTGAGGATCTTTTTGGTTCTCTCACTTTCTAGCTGTGTGATTCTAGGGTGTAATGAGTTTTGGTAGTTTACTTAGCTTTTCTAAGGCTACATCTCCTTATCTGTAAAATGAAAATAGTTTATAGATTCGTTAGTACAGATTAAATTGTGTAAATATATGCAAAGTACATAACATACTCCAATTCAAGCTGTTGCCATTTACAAATATTAAAGATTCTAGCAGTCATTTTCTGACCTTTTTACAAATTCAAAATAATTCTTAAAATAACCATAGCACTGGGAAGAATACAAAGTCATTCTTGAAGACCTTGTTTGAAGTTTGAAGAATTCAAAGCCATGAGATCGATATTGCAAATACTTGAGTTTGGGCATAGCTAGAAAATTCGTATCTATTAGTATCTGGTTAAGAAACACCATCATGTTCAATTTGAGGGTCAAATATAACAGAGCTTTCGACCTTTTTATACTTGCAAATCAGGTATAATAACTGAATGAGGCAGATTTAAAAGAAAAATATTTTTCCACACCTCATGATGTTTAGTGCTTACTCCTGGTTCTGCACTCAAGGGCCACTCCTGTGGGGTGCTGGAGACCATATGCAGTGTACGGGATCAAATCGGGTAAGGCAAGCAAATACCTTAACCCCTGCACTATCGCTCTGATTCACAAATGAGGTAGACACTAAGGTCTATAAAATTTCTCAGAATTAATTTGGTTTACTTAACCCACAATACACATATAGGGAATGAGTTTTACTGCCATTTATACACTTGATCTAGTCTACTGAGGGGAGTTACAAGACCCTAGTCTCTCAGATGTGCTCCTGTGTTCTTATGTGTAAAAGAATACAAAGTCTTATACTAATAATCCTTTTAGCACCCGTGTTGCAGCCTTAGCGCTATAGTACCATGTTTCAGCTTGAGTTTACAGCAAAAATGTTTGAGGGCTTTGGGGCTTCATAGCAATCTGGAAGACACAGACTAAGAAGCAGTTGAACCTCTTGTCCAAGTATCCTGGGTAGGAAGCACATTTACATACACAAAAAAGGTTCAGATAATATCCCACTTGGGTCAGCTTTGTGCAAACAAGGTTTTCAATCTATGCAAGTTTGATTGGTTAAAAAGTTGTCAAGTGGAGCTGGAGTGATAGCACAGCGGGTAGGACGTGTTTGCCTTGCATGCGCTCAACCAAGGTTCGATGCCCAGCATCCCATATGGTTCCCGAACACCACAAGGAGTAATTCCTGAGTGTATGAACCAGGAGTAACCCCTGTGCATCACCAGGTGTGACCCAAAAAGAAAAAAAAAAGTTGTCAAGCAATGAAAGATTGAATTTCAATCCTGAAAAGTCTTTCATTTGCTGGCTTGGTTTCTCTTTGCTGTGCATCTGAGCATACCAGAACAATTTGGAGTGTCCAGAAGTGCCTGGAAATCCACCTTCAACAACATCTTGACTCTTGTTCTTACCTAGACATGGAAAAACTTCCATGTTTTTCTTTTCTATATATTTTTTTCAGAGTTATGCATTTTCATGTAAATCTCAATCCCATTCATTTACGATTTACAGTATTTCCATGAGATGTTTAAACACAGTATACATATCCTCTTCCCTCCCCCCCCCACTTCACTTCATTTGTAGAATACAAGAACCCAGAGAGGTTTATCAACTTGCCCTGAGGTCCCAGAACTGTTCAGCAAACAGTTGGTGTGGACTCTTAGTCCTGTGGATGTCCCTCCATTATGATGCTTCTCAAAATTGTAGTTTGCATAAGAATCACTGGGGAATCTGGTTACAAAGTAGGTCTGATTTTAGTAGAGGGAAAGAGGCTACTGCATGTTTAACAAGCTCCTAAGAGTCACAGCCTCTAGAACATTAGAATATTCTTCATAACTATTCAGACATTTCCTTCCTGACTTTCCCCCAATTGTACTTTATTCTTTCCTTTCCCCATTCCGACCACCAGCATCACACACACTAGACTATGAATTCCATGAGTAGGATAATTTTTATTTGTTTGGGGGCCATACCCAGTGGTATGCAGGGCTTCCTCCTGGCTCTGTGCTTCAGTTATTCCTGGTGGGACTTGGGGAATCATATGGGGTCCCGGGTCACCACATACAAAGTAAGAGCCTTACCTGTTGTACTTATTCTCCAGCTCAAGAGGAGGAATTTTTTTCAATACTTTGACCTGGATACACAAAAGTATTATGTAACAAAAAAGAAATTAGCAAATGTTTAAAGTGTTATGAAAAAGCAACTTGTTTCTTATCACAAAGTTACAACCCTAACATATCAAGATTGATTAGTTACTGCAAGAGAATATTTTATCACATATTCTTGTCGTCTTGAGTCATATTATGATACTGAGTTTTAAGTGCCAAGTCCCAAAAGAACATAATATAAAAAAAGCCCTGTGGGATAGACCAATTCAGACCTGTACCTGTGGAACTGTACCTAGGTTCCAGAAGAATACAGCAGCATTTGTGGACCATTAGAATGTGTTGCTAAAATTCAGGTGAAGAGTCTACTTCCTCTCTCACTTGAGGGTGCCAAAACAGCCATCTGCTATGTATTGTGGACTTTCTATATGTCAAACACTATGCTAAGTGCTTGGCACAAGCCATCTCGTTTCATCCTCTCTGCAAAAGCTCTGTATCACCGTATAGGTAAAGAAGTAGACACACAATGTGGGAGATGAAACTGAGATTTGAAACCAGCAGTCTGGCTCCAGAGTTGGAGTTCGGACTACATTGCCACGGAAAACAAAACAACTGCCTGAAGACGGTAGTTACTTTACCTGTCAGTGGCCTGATATCAGCTTCAAAAAGCAAATCCAAAGTAGACAGAGACACATATAATATCATTAAGAAGTAGCTCTTGCATGCAAAAGAAAGCATCTGATTTATAACATAGAAAAAGAATAAGATTTTCTAATACAGCAAATATTCGGTTGAAGTCCATTTAGTTTATGGCTAACACCACTGCAAGGTGAACCAAGAGTCAGTTAAGTAATAAGTCTCAAAGGTTGCAATTCCTTTCACACTTCATCAGGTCTCTGATGAAACCGTACATTGGGCCAAATCTGAGAAGATGGTCATCACGAGGAAGAAATCAGTATTTTGTGAAGCTGTTCAGCATAAGAAATCAAAAAGTCTAAAGGACAAAGGAAATTTTGTTTTTCAAAAACTTAAAAACAGAAGTTTGACAGTTACATTTAACACTATCAGAAATAGAAGGAACTAAGAAAATGGAAGAGAATGCAGTGTGAAATTGAATAAGAGGAAAAAGTTAACTTAATCTCTTCTATATATAAATGTGAACAGAAAATTATAAGGGCCAATACTAAAACACACCTATAGGCTCTAAAATAAAGCATTACTATGGGAAAAGAGTTGAATTCTATGTGCTGATTTTAATCAATACTTCTAACTTACCTTTGTATTCTGACGGCACAAAATCTGGTTTTGCCATTTCCTTGTTACAGTCTCACACTAGCATAAATCCTCCAAGATTCATATTCTTCAGCTGTAAAAAATGTGGGAACCAAAAAACCCCTTCCTAGAATTACTCTAAATTTTACATTAAATGACATAGTGTGATATTTATTCCACAGTGTATTGTGAGAGAAACAAAATACACTCACATCCTGTTTTCTCTCCTTTCTCTTAAATTCTGTTTTCTTTAAAATAATCTCTAAGGATTTTTAACCCCATTTTGTTGCTGTTGGCAGAAATGTATCACTATTCAAAATTGAGGAAAAGAATGTACCTATATACTGATGAAATGTGTATCAGCAAATGAGTATAAACTCGGCATATTATATGAAAAGATGATCATATATTAAGTTTGGCACATTAGAAACCATGTAGGTATAGGATCTATAAAGTTAACTTCAGAGGTTGGAAAGATAATACAAGGGCTAAGGTACTTGCTTTGCATGTGACTAGCATAGGCCACAACCCTAGTTCAAATCCTAGGTACCACATAATTCTGAGCACTACTGAACACATAGCAAGAAATAACCTCTAAGCAGAGCTGGGTGTGACTCAGGAGAGGTCTCCATCAAAAAAAAAGTCCACTTCACTCACAATTTAATTCAGAAATTTTATTGGATCGGCCAAATAGCAGCTATTTTATAAATAACACTTGATGAAGAATTTAGGGTATAGTTTTAAAAAAATAATTTTTTCAATTCACGTGAATGTTTTACAAATCAGAAAATACTGAATAATACACAAGGTTGAGTCAACTTTTTTATTTTTGTCAATGACATTTGATTTCTACAATAGGGTTTTCATCAAATTAAAATCACTAAACATATTAAAAGACAATACTTCAGTTACTGAAATTCTATTTGAAATTTATATGTAAAGTTAAGAAACTCATAATTCTAAGAAGTTATAACAACATACATAATAGTAATTAAGTCAACAAAGATAACAAACAGAATTTTGAGGAGTCTTCCCACAATTTCATCCTCCAGATTTGTGGGGGCAGTCGTGGAAATTAATATCCAGTTTTTACACGTCATATCCACAATTATTCTGTTCCCTGGAGAAAAAAGAAAAGCATTCTCAAGTAAACTAACTGATAATCTGGATTCTCTAAATTCAATTAAACTTTTTCGCTGTAAAGGAACCATCATGAAATCTTTCTGGGAAGACTTTTGTCATTTGTGACTAAGCAATGAATTGGAATTTTTTTCCTAACAAACTAATACATTTTACCAATTTTTAAAATCATTTTATAAGTCATAATTGTAGTTTTTCTGTCAAATTGTGTTTTTTTTTCTGTCAAATCATCTTCCTAGAAGAAACAACCAAGGAAACTATCCATGTGACCATTCTCTTTTCTGTTGTCAGTAATAAGTTTATTTATGAAGTTTTTTCTGGAAAAACATTTTCAGATTTATTGGTATCAATGAAGTTTCTATTCCTCCAATCTGTAAAGTTGACATTACCATAAATGAGAATTTGAAGGGAAAGAGCGGGTATCAACACACACAAAAAAACAATAAAAAGTAATTTCTATTTCCTTAACCTTTCCTCCAGGTCCTATAGCTCAGTTCATAAGATATCACATGTTTAATTTTCTCCATATCCCCCAAATGTTAAAAATAACTAGATTTTTAATGGAATATTACAAGATATTATGTGGTTTACATACTGTTGGAATATTTTACCAAATGACTCTCATATAGGGAATTTTAAACCATTCTGCCTTAAGAAGTACAGAAATCAAATAAGAAATCAAATAAGTCAAGTAATTTCTTATCTATATTCGGTTTTAAATGAGCATCGCTCTTACAAAGCAGCAAGTCTGATGCTATTTCCCACTTTAACTGAAAAACCAGAAAGATGAGAAGAAAAACAAATAGATGAGATTTATAGAAATGTTATATGCTTCACTTTTAGCAATCTGTACTAATTTCTCTAACACTTGTCCCATTCATAAAAGAGGATGATTTGCCCAAACTCACACAACTACCGCCAAAGTAGACCCCTAATATTTATTTTATGTTCAATAATACCTTTTGCTTATATTTCAGAAACAAGAAGTAAAATAATGCAAAGAGACTTCTTCCCTCATACCCAGTCTCAGCCTCCAACACTTTATTTCTTTCTTCTGAGGATTATCTGAATTCTCTTCTCGACCAGTAAAAGAAGACTGTAATAGACAGCTAGTGGTGACAGGAAAGTAAGTAGAAACCCGTTCTCACCTGATTTAATCCCAGGTAGTTGTAGGTATCACCACACCTGATTTTCACTTAGTTGCTCTTGCTAAAATAAAGTACATTCAGCACAGGCGGCCTCTTCACATCAGTTCCTGAGTCAAAACACATTAAAACATTTTATTGAATGGTGAGGCAGTTTGTGAAATGGAGGGGTAGGAAGCCTACCTGGGGAAGCTTTAAAATTACTTCAGGAAGTATTAACAATATTTGTAAAATATATTTTAAATTCAATTTATTACAGAATTGTATAGTTAAAAACTGAAACCTTTAACTAGTGAAGTTGAATTATCAGATATTCTTAATAGTACAGATATTAATCACACTTTTCAAACAATTTTCTACAACTTGGGGGGCAGGAGAATGGAAAAGATGTGTTTAACAGTACAGCAACTAAAAAATAAGTCCTCCAACCAAATGCATTATACAGTGATTATAGACAATAAAATTATACTATAAACATTATACTTGCTAAGTGATTTGGTTTTAAATAGTTCTCAACACTGTCACTGTCCCTGTCCTCCCGTTGTTCATCGATTTGCTCGAGCGGGCCCAGTAACGTCTCCATCGTGAGACTTTGTTGTTACTGTGTTTGGCATATCGAATACGTCCCGGGTAGCTTGCAAGATACTCTCGGTAACTTGCCAGGCTCTCCGAGAGGGGCGGAGGAATCGAACTCAGGTCGGCCAAAGATGGCTGCGTGCAAGGCAAATGCCCTACCCGCTGTGCTATCGCTCCAGCCCAGTTCTCAACACTAGAAGAAACAATAGCAATATGATACAATTAGTTCTTAGCTAATGCTACGATGGCAATAATGCTGCAAAATAAATGTATCAAATAAATATGTTGACTACTTAAACTTGTACATTACATACATGTTGAAAATGAATTAAAAATTCCTAAAAAATATTTAAGTATATTGCATCAGTATATTTCATGTAAATAAAACTTTTCTATTTACAGAGAAACCACAACTCATGATATTGCATGTCTTCTCTAAGTTTTAAATTTCTGTATCATTTTTATGAACAAATTTATGAACAAATTAATTACAAAAAAGGCAATGCCATAAAATTCAGTTCAAAATGAAAGATTGTCCAAATGAAATATGTTCAACAAAGTAATTTCAACTACAAAATAACAAACATTTAAGTTATGTTGAAATGTTGCCAAAATATTTAAATATAACTCAAACCTTGCCTTATGATCGTCCATTATACTCATAGGCATATAGCCTTAGTAAATTCATGGTTATCCCTACCAGAAATGGATCCAAATATTAGTCATTGTGTTCTCAACTTAGAAACTACACAAATTTTCATTAGTGTATAGATAAATCCATATGACAGATGTATCCAATAATGAAAATGAAGCTTCAGCTGCACACAAAAACAGGAATAAGTCTACAAATGTGGTATGATTTTTTTCACAGCATAGTAACATGGGTTAAGGCAAGAATTTAAGAAGCAAGTGTACATGCCTTTCATGCTGGAGGCCCGGGTTTAAACCTTGGCCCTATAAAGTTTCTCAAAGTACTGTCAGGATCAATACCCCAGTGCTACTAGATGTGGCCCACTACCCAAAGAAGGAAAAAAGGACACAAAAGAAAACAATATGTTTATATAAAGTAAAAAAACAAAGTTGAAAGATGTGCCTGTGTGTGTGGCATATATTCATGTATATGTAATAGTATTTGGACATTTATCTAGAAAAGCAAGAGATTGGCCCCCTGAAATCAGGCAAGTGGGGACTTTAGTGAGGAATGAAAAGAAATGGGGCAAAGTTTCCAGCAATGTTTCATTTCTTGTCCAGGATGGTGTTTCGTTGGCATTACTTTTCAACTGCTTTCCATCACTTTTCACTGCTAACATGGCCATAGAAGTTTGTGTGTTTTTTCTGTAGATATATTTGACTTCACAATTGAAACATTAAAAAGGAAAAGAAATATATACAATGTCAAAAGTGGTCATCGTTGCCAGGTTTGGATGAGAAGACCATGTGTAAAGATTTTTCCTTCTCTTTGTTTTTCTCACATTTTCATTTAAAAGGATGCAGATTGTATAACTTTAGAAAATAAAGTAATCCCTTAACTGCCAGTGCTCTTCGTCCTCCTAAAGAATTATTATGTAGGGGCCAGAGAAATAGTATAGTAGGCAGGGCACTTTTCCTTGCACTCAGCCAACCAAGGTTGGATCTCTAACATTCCATATGGTCCCTGGGACCCCACCAGGAGTAATTTCTGAGTGCAGAGCCAAGCAGAGCCAACCCATGAGCACTAACAGGTCTGACCCAAAAAGAAAAAAAATAATAATTATTATGCACTACTGAAGTAAAATTAAATTAACCAGAAAAATGTTTTAACAAAAATATTAACTTATACATTACCATATATTATATATTTTTATTAAAATATTTCCCTGGTAAATTTCTTGAGTTTGTATCAATGTTATGTTTAACAGCATGTCATTGTTTCATTGAAAATGCTTCTGCAAAACAGGGACATGTATGGTTCCTTTCTGATACTAACTCTTGAAGTTACTTATGCTTCTAGATCTAAATCATTGAAAGGACACTGATTTGTACTGTTGGAAGTTTACCGATATATTGAGGTTTTACTTGAATTTAAATTATTTATGTCACTGTACTTTCACACATATTTTGCCTAATTTGTTTTTACTAAAACCTTAATTATGTTTCCTGCTTAGAGTAGAAACAGCAATTTGTGGGGAAAGTACTTCATTTTTTTCTGGATATAAGATGCATCAAAATATAAATAAATTTCAAGCATTATTTATTACATTTCTGAAGTACAATAGGACATATTGAATATGACAATCCTCAGACCATGTTCTTGAGTGTTATATTTTAAAATCATAATGGAAATAACATGCCCTCCAATTTCTAATATAGGGCATTCTAGACATTAGAGGCTGAAAATATTTCATGTCAAAATTTCAAATAACTGCAATGTCTCTCCCATTTGGATTCCTCATCTTTTTTTCCCCTGATATCCAGAAGGTGCTAAAATTCAAGTTATTATTTTAGAGAATGATGCTTTGAAAATGGAATGAGTATGCTCTTATCTATATTTTAAAACTTACATTCTTTTCTCTTAATTCTATGTAATCTAAAAAAATGTAATTCAAGTGAGCTGATCATTATTTATTGGGTGGCTAATGACACCACAGAAGTTAGAAAAATGGAAGGCAGCAGTAACCCGTGATCTTGAAGCAATTGAGCTTCATGATATTCTGATCTTCATCTGTCATCAGTCTGTAAGTTTTTGCGTCTAAAATCGTTACAATCTTGTTTTTATATAAAACAGTTTCTTAAATCAACTCTGATTCCTGGGGCCTCAAGAAGAGCTTATTTCCAGGGCTGGAGAGAAAGTACCTGGGGGATGGCACTTTTCCTTTTATGCAGCCAACCCTAGTTCAATACCCAGCACTGTATATGATCCTCCAAGCACTGCTATGAGTGGTCCCAGAACACGGAGCCAGGAGTCTCCCCTGAGTAGTGCCAAATATGGTCCATCGTCCCCTACCCTTACCAAAAAAAGGGAGTGGGATTCTTCTCCAAAGATTGACCTTGGCAAAGAGGAAACAAAACAAAACAAATAAAGAACCCCTTTATTATACAATTTCCTTCCCCTCATTAGGTGTGAATTCTTGCTCAGGACAAAGAACATAACATGCTTTATTGAAAGTCTTTTTCAATCAAAAGAAAAACATTTTTCATTGGACTCAGGTTTTTCGTCCGAAATGCATGAGTCACATTTCAAAAATATTTTTCTTTCTGAC